AGTACACTACAATGTTACCTCAAAGCATTGAGAAGTCCATCTACTGTACCATTTGGTTGATCTTTGAGAACTTTAATTGAAGCCTTAATCTAAGCATGTCAAAAAGAAATATTAAACACTGATAAATATATTTGGTGCTTTTCTATATCTTCAAATTGATAAAAGTTCTTTTTGGTAAACAGTTTAGTCCTACTGGATCTGAAGATGTTGCTGGGATGACAACATTTTGTTTTCRGTTACAATTAAATTTTATAATTACCGTTTTAGTCTTTTTTTATAATTAGCATAATTACTGTAATATTACACTTAACAATCCCAGTGCAATCTCTAAAGGCAGCTACACCTTTGCTTTGGAACAAAATAGCACTTTATCTTGTTTTAATTTATGATCTATCAATTCAAACTACTCAATTAGCATATTGTAGAATCACTTACATCTATAGATGATGTCTTAGCAAAGGCACCAACAGGGTGAACATGGTCATACAGTATTATCACACCAACCTGACAATAAAATAAAATATTTATATAGGATATATTCTAATTACCAATGTCATAAATCAAAGATAATAAGCCTGTGTACAACATTTAATACAAGTAATTATAAATATTTTTTTATAATAATCACTTATTCAGTAGTGCAAAGAGACTACCTTACCATTACACGAAGACAAAATAGCATAGTTTCTTCATTCTCAAATCTTGCAGAAATATCCCTGGAATAAGGAAGCAAAAATGTAACTTCATACGCACTAGCTTTCCATGCCATATGCTCTGATATTGTAATGCCAAAACATAACTGTTTATCAGCAGAGTGGCAAAGCAACAAAAAGTTGAAAKAATACAATTTAGTGAAAGATTGTGTGAAAAAGACCAAATTGCAGGCAGCATTTTCTCTGGATTTACTCTACTTCTGGTTTCTGCAACTTTTTTATGAAAGAGGGTTGTCAACCCTTTGCCCTGGAATCCCCCAAGCTGGAGAACCAGGAGATCACTCCTGTCTGGCAGAGGTAACAAACCAGAAGCATAGTTCCAGCCAACATGCGTTACTCTGCAATACAAGCTCACCACGATAACGTGATGGCCCCATATGGCCATGTGTGCCACAAAGTATGAGGAGAACAGGTGACATTGCATATTCAATGTATGTTATCTTAGACACATGATATCATGCAATGCTTAAAATTTTGCAGTTACGTTTTGAGCATTTTTTCATAAATTATGAAATAAAGAGTGTTTAAATGAGCAATACAACTTGAAATCACAATTTGTTTCATATGGTTACTAGTAGTTTTACTTACGGATTTTCTATCATTGTTCGACAAAGATTAGCTAAAGTACTAAGGCACTCAGTAGTATTTTCTATAGGAAGATTTTTATTCTGAAATAAAAAAAATTAACATATCAATTAAAGTTAACCAAAACATTACAGCTGATTTAGGTTATAGAGGGGAATATTTTCTTATTCTCAGGSACAATGGAGTTTATAGTAAACAAAATTAATACATACCTCTGTAACAAACTTTGTTGTAGCATCACTAAGAGTTTTAAGAAGGGGAGTTGGATAAGCATAAAACAGCGACATTCTGTTAGCCATTTCATTTGAAACAACAACTTCCTCGTCATCTGTGTTAGCCATTTTCTTTCGACTCAAGGTTCTTCTAAARTAGCTGAAGTCATTCTGAATATTGGGATTTGTCATCTAAAAACATAATCATTATTTTTAAAATGGGGATAGCAGAAACTTTTGCAATGCTAATAAAGCTTTACAATGTTTCATCTACATGTATACCAAATTCATTTAACTTGTCACATGACAAAAATARCTGCTGCAAGATCTTGTGCAAATTGCTTGTTGATCATTTTCCATAGCTTTAATCCTACTTTAATTGTCACATAATTTCACTTTTCAAGCCTGCTAAGTTTGATTACAATCATTATTTTAGACTGTCATTTTAATCGGTTATAGAATGAGAAACATTGCTTTCACAACAGCAGAGATGTCACAAAATGCTTGACATTTTTGAACAATCATAGATTAACATTTCATTAATGGATGGGACTTAGCTAACCAGTATCTAAAAATTAGCACTTTGTTTACCTAACTTACCAAATGAATTACCTATTTCTGTTACCAATTGTAACAAGAATATGTAACTCWGAGTAATAGGTAAACTAAGGTCATTGTAAGTTGTTATATTGTTAACAAAAAAAACTTGTTATGCAACAAAATATAAGATGGCAATTCCATTGTAATTAACTTACCTTTAAATCATCAAATTTAAGTGTAAAATGCAGTATTTCTGCGAACTGTTTAGCCAAAGCCTATAAAAAGGGAATAATACAATATTATTACATGTGCATTAGCCTGCAAACACAGACAATGACAGAGCTCAACAACAGATGCACACAAAAGTTAACACACATGAGGGTGGATCTGCCCTGGGTTAGGCATTGAACACAAAGTCAGGAGGGACACCATTACCAGTTAACAATGATCAATATACAATGTATTCCCCTGTCATTACACTAATAATGACAATTGTAACCTCCATATCCACTCTGTTTTTCAAGCTAAAGCTAAATGTTCTGTGACTGACCTGTTGTTGTTCCAAATGTTCTGTTGGTGTTAGATTCCCTGCACAAAGTGCATGCAGAAGCTGTGGTAGAACTGCTTCTAATTCACATGCATATTCATAAAATTGTTTCAATTTTCCTACTAACGGCACAACAGCCCTCCATGCCATGTCTTGCAATTCTTCATTTGACGGATTAGATATAGCCTGTAGATATTCAAGCACACATAATAAGGGTTGAGATATATGTTCATGCAATTATAAATGGGATTTTGGTAAAGATGAAATAAAGGAAATGACCAGAGTAGTTCATTTAGAAATTTAGAAAAACCTGGTAAGTTTGTGTTTAGCTGGTACACATAGATTTCCAAAAATAATCCCTTTGGTGCCTTTCTGTAGGGTTTCCTGGTCAGTACAGGGACTATGTTGTACGAAGGGTTATGAAAGTCTGATGAAAGTTATCTACTCTATATAGATTGTGCATGGATTTTATCCACTGTGTAAGGATTGATCTGGTGATTAGTGCTATTCACCCTTCCTATCTTTTCCCAGCGTTCAATGAACTAAGCTAAGTTTGAATAACTTCTTCCGTGACTCCAAGTCTAGTATGACAGGTGACTGACCACGAAACATGGATGGTTTCCATGGTTACCACACTGCTACCACAGGGATGACATCATTTGARGCAGCAGATCAGCATTYATGCCAACCTTATTAYTATTGATGCATTTAATACCACTACAACTGTACAAGGGAAACGTTCACTACTTTAGTATTATGGACCAACCTGTCTAATAGCAGAACTGGCACCAGGGTATTGTTCAAGCTGCTCCAATATTCTAGGAGACTCATCTAGAACACCTTTCACAATCTCATACACTTCTTTTTCTGTTTCAGTTGGCTGTGCATCTATCAATCAATCCAATCAATTAATTAATTTATCATATAACTTTGAATACAATGCTTTATTCTACTGACCTGTAAACATAAAAAAGAAGTTATTCAACAACATCATAAAAAGCATGAATTCATAAAGTTTTCAAGCTTTTCTGACATCTAACAGATCATGATATTGTTTATTGAGGACTTGGTTATAATGTTCGTTGTCCTTTTGTGAGACAGGAATTCCAATTAATGTTCACTTTAGCATTTCAAATGGCAAGCATATACACCACATACTGTTGAGATAAAATCCTTACTCTCAAAATCTAAAAAGATATCAACTTTGCCAGCTTCAGTTTCATCTCTGCTCAGTAGTCTTAGAAGATTTCCCATGGTAGTATCTCTACACTAAACGTGCAAAGATCTGCAACARAAATGAATTACATTGGTAAATACATGTACATGTCATTGTATTTGGTACAAAGTAAACAAATGCAATTCTAAACATTTGAAACGATTGCAATGCAAACTTAAAGYTTGTTTGTTTTTGTTCAAAAGACAGGAGGTATGCTAATCACTGCTGATCACTGACAGTTTGTCAGGCTTYGTCTTCAGCAATTTTGTTTTTCAACTGTTTTACTTTTACTTGCATGCATGYTGGAAGATATTATAGTCTGAAGTTAGAAAGTATTATAATACAATAGGTTATCTTAAAATATATGGCACTGTTGAATGCAAACAGCATTACAAGATTTCAGTCAACAGTACAGTGATACCTGACACTAGAGTAATATTATTTTTTCAAATCCTGATGCAAAGATTGCGACACCACCAAAAATACTAATAAAACTAGAGCACATGGACAACAATTACTTTACTTAAAGTGCCATTTCAACAAGATTTGATCAATTATACGTCCAAAGCCGGAAAAAATAGTCTAGTTAAAAAAAATGATTAATATAGAATCGTGCCGTTTTGCCAAATTAGTTGAACATCGAGGGTCTGTGTTAATATCCTAGAATTGTATTTGTAATTATAATTTATTCAAAGTCTTTCTGTCTTGTAAATCAAGAAACTTTATTTGAATCGAGCTCATTGTTACGGAATGCCGTTTGAATATTCAGAAGAGCTGGTAATTCAAAACAAACTTGTGGAAACTATAAAATTATGAAATATAATTAATTCTACGGCTTATTCGCGTAAGATAATCCACTGTGTGATTAAAATARCGGATCATTCTTGTCGGAATTCATATTATAAGGCTTCAGGAAGAAGAGAACTGTAGGCTTTCAAAAGTGAATGTAATAATCAACACGATGTCAGTCAGTTGACTACTTTGTGCAGAAAACGTCCAAGTGCTAATAACTTTGATTTCCCTGGCAAACACGACATAGAAGCTTCACATCTACACCAATTGGGTTGGAAAACATGTAAAAGATTGCTTATACTTGATAAATAAGGTGAAGCTTTTAATAAACAGTGAAGAAATACAATTAATCTAAACAGGAATAGGCACATTCCTTCGAAATCCACACAACACTCAAATCTTTCAAAGAACTTCTGACCACGAACGTCTGGTTTAAAAAAACGAGTCAAAACTCAGTCGCAAACGATTGAATTTGAGGATGGACTACTCGAAAAAGTCTACACTACAGAATCCAAAACGAGATCTCAACCACAAACATAAATTCACAATCTGTAACCTACTTACCGACTATATCCACCGGAAAGAGGTGATTCGCGTTACGTTGTGTGCGGCTGTAGCTCTTGATGGCCTCAAATCACCGCACAAATTTGCCGACAACACACTCAAAAGTCCTCGAGTTACGTATTTAGAAGAAATGAGTAGAAATAATGTACATTAAGGTGCTGTCACCTAAATTTTACTCGTCTTCTTGCGTTTTCTTCAGCACCACCAAACTTTCGAGTCAGAGACTAGGCGCCCATTTTCCACGCCCATATRTAGACCATGGTGCTTTGCGAGTCTTATACTTCCGGGAGCTTTGAGCGGAAACACCTTTCAGAAAATCTGCTTCGATATTCACTGGYGGTTAATTTTTTTCTTTCGATACGCAACAAAGACTGTCAATGGTTGAATACTTTAACTTAATGAGGATAAGAAAAATTTGTCGTAATCCTAGATGTATTCTTTATTTGCTACTGTTCTCTTCACCGGAAGTCATTCTTTATCTTATATAGGATTTTTCACAATTGGGCATCGGTYTATAATATGTGATTTTATCATTATTATAATTGTTGTTGTTTTTATTGGATGCTTATAGAATGGTTAATCGCGTCTTAATACTTATGAATTTATTTTCTGATACACTGTAAAAATGCAAATTTTAATTTATAAAATTTGGTAAATTTCAAATCATTTCAAATCCTCATAAAATAAAGTACATAATTCAATAGAAGCAAACAAAACTAAATTATTTTTGTGTGTGTTTCTTTGTTTTACCGAATAGAAATCGATCAAAGCGATTTCCATCGACCAAGCTTTTGATGCCAAATTTGGTCATGACATCTGATTAGGCGCGAAAATCAAAAGAAATGCGCGAGCGACCACGACGGTATGAGGGGATGCCAACGTGGCAACTTGTTTGAGCGAAAAATAATGTAAAATTGAACGCAAAATCAGTAGAAGGATATGATTTTAAGACAGTGAGAGGTTTACAATGCCATCTCTTACAATAGATCATCAAGTCATGGTAAGTACAAAAAGTATAATTTTGCTAAAGATAAGATGTCGTTTSACCAACGGAGAGCATGTACAATGTGAGATTGATGTTTTGTAGGCTGTCTTGGTGAAACTTTGCTGGATAAATGAAATTTAAATGTTTCATATAAAGTATAATCTTCGACAACTAGGACATTTTATGAATTCTGCCAATTACGAATACAATGAATAATAACATGTTTATAGAAATATAATTGTGCTAATTCTGTGTAAGCTTACTTGACCTATATCGTGTCATCTTGCAGATGGCGGCGCTGTGACTCTGCTGTAATGAATGGATGTGTGTTGAATTTATAAATGAAATAAATTTATATTACAGCTACATTTTATTCACAGGAAAAGATTTCGAATGATTTGTATAACTTTGTGTCGAGYCAGGTTCTTGCAATTTTAAACATTTCTTTCAATTTTTGAAATTTTTAACTTAAGGAACTTTTCAAGGATCCCCMAAAAAATTACAGTGCATTTGCCAAAGCCATTGCTCAGGTAAGAATATTAAGCCCTAGTATCCATGACTTTTCTTTCATTTTAAAATATTCTTGATTTGCCGTTCTAACCGTTTCAGGAAAAAATGATTTTAAGCTAGAATGTAATTTTTGAACTTGTTGATGCATAGTGTAATTTATATGCAGTAGAGTACATAAAATCTTCCAAACCTTTTTGTTGTTTCTGTCTTTGCATAAAATATTTAGWGGTCCTAACTATTTTTATGATTTTTATGACTATAGGATGCAGAAAAGGAGAACTTTGATGCAATTGACAACCAGCTTATATACCTCAACCAAGAGATGAATAGAGGCTCYCAAGGCAATGCTATGACAGATGTCATTGATGAAATTGTTGACCAAGGAATAATTGAAATGATAAGTACTGTTTCCAAAATGCTTCATTATGACATAACTCATGTGTGGGCATAGTGCATAAATTGAAATTCAGTCTGTTCAAATTGCTTTTTATTATCGAGCTTTCAATCAGGAGGCAAATAGTTGTGCCAAACAAATAGTTCAAGAAAAAAAAATATATGTTTTAAATACACAAGGTATCRCACTATAAATTCAATCAGAATTTGAAGTATTCAAAGTCGTAGACTACAGTGCAGCAAAAGCAGGTCAAGAGCGTGACTCCTTATGCAAATGAGATCAAAGCAATGGCTTAACAAGTTAGACATCAGGGGCTGGTTTTACAACCACAGGTTAAAGCTATCCACTCCTTAGATATTGTATAGRTTTTATCCTTCAACTTATGCACAACTGGGTCCTAACAGAAAATTACATTTTGATGATGTTTGACATTTGTTTTGACAGTTCTGCAATTTTATTYATTTACTCATAAATTCATCCATTCATTCCTTTAATCAGACAGTCATTCATACTTATACATTTTTCTTAATTTAATATTATCAAATTCATTAATAATTCATATGGCAAACACAATGGAAAATCATTGCCGTGACYGCATCTTCATATGATCAAGAGATGTGTTTTGCATAYGACTTTAACTTTGATTTTCTCTTACAAATGATATTTTATCCTGAAKTTTTTTTTCGAAATATGCTTYACCTYATGTTGGAATTTGATAAGCAATATAAAATATTCACGTYCGACCTTTATGGGCTATAAAAATGCTCGCTTGCAGCTCGCAGTTTTAAATGCCCATAAAGGTCTCCCGCTCATATTTTATATATTACATATATAATTCAATTTAAGTTTCAAGGGAAAGGGATTAAAAGGACTTTCCCATCCACCCCAGCTTTTGTTCTCCCCATTCCCCCTCCCCCAGAGCAACCATACTGACTGTTTGGATCTTATCTCTTACATGTTCTCGTTCAATCAGTTATACATAGAATTTTAAAATTGCCCTTCATTTGTTTTGTTCTTTGTGCTGTTTGAAATGTGAAATGATTTTTTCTTCTTCTTTTTTACATGTGGCAGGTGTTTGTTAAAATGATAAGTAATGATCARCCAATTATAGTCCCACCTTTGACAAAATCTTTGATAATCCTGCTTGAAACTATAGCAGTAAGTTTTACTTCTTGGCGTCTGCATCATTTTAAGGTTTTATTCATTTTAACAAAGCAATATCTTAATATATTACTATTTTCTTCTTTGTTTATAGAATATTATAGGTATCTCAGATACGGGTAAGTAATATACTAGTACTAAGACATGTAAGTTTCTTGTGGAAGTGATATTTAAATCAATTTTTTGTAGCAAAATCAAAGTCCAGCATTTTTTTGCCATATTTGATGAGAAACATAGTTGGAATCAGTGAAAATGAATGTCGTCTAAGGTTAGAGGTAAGTGTTAACGGACTTTTTTTATATCATTAATACTTCTGTTTTATCTTTTCTTTGGCATTGCCTTTTTCCACATTTCTTTTTAAATTTATAGGTTTATTTTTTTTATTCAAAAAATCGGATTGGGTGGCACCGCCTTCTTTTTTGCTAGAAGTCGCTGTGCAGTCGATTTTTAAAACTACTTCAAGTTGTAGAACACGCCCCTTARACTATCGATTTTCTGAATAAATACAGCATACAGGAACCCCAACATCAGTATCATTTGATATAGCACCCAAAGAAAGTACAACGATGTCCGTATAAGCGCAATGTCGTAAATTTATGTAGATGGGATTTCGCCTACTAATCAGTACTAAGAATATCCAAGTGCTAATATCTTCCTAGTGGAGAAGCACTCCGCCATTTTTTCGCTCTTTCCTAACCCTAAATACAACTATGCAAGATGCATACATGATTTTTATTGTTTTCACAGGCAGCTAAACTGATCAACAATTTACTAGCAAATATAGACTCATCGAATRGTGACCAAACCAACGAAATGAAAAAGCAAAAAAACATGTAAGCTGGTTATCCCTTTGGGGTTGATAACGGCCATAGGTGCAATGGATGTTTTAACATAATTATAAAAATATATGATATAATAATTATATGATTCTGTCTTATAGACGTGAAGGCATTGGTACACTGCTGAGCAACGCAGGCGGTAACTTTGTTATTTTGTTTGTATATTTAAAACCAAGTTCTCCCCCAAACGCATCGGAGATTTTAGAAACTTTTTTTTCAGGATTCACCATCCCTACAGATCTGATCTAAAAATATAATCTAGTTTTTTCATCGAATGCAAGTGAGCGGACTTAAAGAAGAAACGGTTTCAGGTTGAAGTCCATCCAGATTCATGACAATAGAGCGGCTTATCGAAGAGAATTTCGACTTAAAACTGTTGAATGAAGACGACGCCACTGACCATGGTACATTTCTTATATCTAGACTTCGAGCTACAAGCACACCTACTAGAGATAGTATTCAGACTCATACCAAAATCAGAGAGAGGTTCATATACGTCTACATGGTTTGATTGTGAAGAACTTCGACAGCTTTTTTCAACTATCGAAGACAATTGTTTCGAACCTGTAAGTAATTTAGAAGGAGTGTAGCCCTTTTTTATGGTCATCAAATGTTTTCCTTTTTGTCAGAMTTGGTCTAATTGTCATTATCAATCACATCAGTGTCCGCCTGAAGTTATTTCCAAGGCAATGATTACTACTCAAATGTTAAAGAGGATTTCAGCTCAGGATGTTTTTGTCTTGGATCCAAGACAAAAACATCCTGAGCTGAAATCGTCTTTAACAATTGAGTAGTAATTGGAAATAACTTCACTGGGACATCTTGCAAAAGAACATTTTGAAAGCTATAGCGTCACTGATATAAACGATTTGCTGATGTTCTTAGCAAACTATCTTTCATGCATGAGTGAAAATGCAATTTTACCTAAAAGGGCGTGGCATCACGAGGGACTTTGTGAGATCACGAGAAATTCCACTCACAACGTTGCATTAAATAGAATGTATTATTTTCTTCAGTGTGAAGCTAAAATTGGAGGTCCTATGATGCAAAACAAAACAGCAGAACGACCACTTAAAAATAGGAACATATAGACTGTGATATACTAAAATACACTTTTTCAGGGTTGTAGAAGGTTCTTAAACAAAGTGAATGACAGCACATCTGAGAAAAAGTAATTATTTTCTTTTGCTGCTAGTATAAATACATATTACAAATGTTATATAGTAAATTTGCTTACTTGCAGAGTCTACTCAATTCCATGCCAAAAAGTGTTTTTTGGAAAACAAAAGGTATTTACCAAGAATTTAGATAATATAGCCTAAGTAAACTTAAATGATAGACTGGAAAACAGCGATACAATACATACAAAAAGATTTTCAGAGATAGTAGGCAGTATATTGCTTACGCTGGGTTTGGATTCTTGCTTTTGTTTCTGCTATAAAAGGGAGATCTCTAAGATGCTTTGTAAATTTTAGTAAAATGTAGTAAGTGTATACACATCAATATTGAAAAATACCCGCAGTAATGTTCGGTCATGTTACGGATTAAAGAGTGAAGATAAATGTTATGTTTTTCAGGTTTCCATCGCAAAAGACACTGATTCGAACAAATATTGGATTGATTTTAACCTTGGGAGTAGGACTCTAAAGTTTTTTGTGGAAGAGAAAGATGACAAGGTCTGTTTCAGTGGAAAATTACTTTAAAGAATAAACTGTAGCATTGATGTTGGTTTGTCTATCGTAATGTTTCTGATCAATACATATTTCATCAGTATTGAATTCCAGCAACCATACGGATGTGGCCTGTAGCGGCGGATCCAGCTGATGAATGAGGGTTTTTTTCAATACTTTACCTACTTTGTGTCACCATGTGACCATTTCTGTTGTGCGCAACCCTCCTTTTTGACCCGGCTACATCCCTCCCTGAAGACTGAAGTCCTGGATCCGCCCCTGCTTGYCGAGAATGATCTACCCTGCGGTATTCAGTTGAATAGTGCACTAATCGGTGTGTACAGCAATAAAACCTTCTATAAGCAGAGAAATTTTCATGTTTCATACCAGGATGATGACGAGACTTGGTGGCACACAGTTGTTATCACTGCAGATAACGTTTCTTCGTGTATTTTTTTTGGTAAGTGAAAATCTTGTATGATGTAATTAATATTTGAAAAGAATTAGGTAGTAAATTACTTTGTTTTTCAGAGYCACACCACAATAGTCCAACCATTAAAATCACGTTAAAAGATGATGCWGCAAAACTTATCCCATCATTACCTGAACGTGGTGAACACTCTGTGTTCATAAGACTTGATGCAGATTCTAAATGTATCTTTTAAATGTTTTAAATTAAGTTGCTGTGAAATACACTATCTGTTTTATATGTTTTAGACTACATTATATCATGATATTGTTCTGATTTCGTCTCGCCATGCGCTAAAACTAAAAAGTGCGACAGACATTATTATGTGGTTGGTGATGTTGCTTAGATGTATGTTTGTTAAGGAGAGGCATTATTGTTCATTGAGCTATAAAAGTATATCACAATAAGCGCCATAGTTTCTGCACACTCATTTAAAATCTGTTCTGATTATAAAGAGGATATTCCTCAATTTTCCTGAGCCAAACTAGACAATCAAACAATGCTTACTGATATATTCCGTAAAATGAAATGGGTAAGCTCAGAGTTCTTGTCTCCCAAGTCATCCGTTGCTATAAGCGTAGTGCATGTTGCAAATCGTCAGAAAGGCACAATGAAAATCCTTCCATCTATCACTGCAAAGGTATGAAGTTTAGCTTGACATACACTAGTTTCAAAAGGTACATTAACTAACCTTTTCTATTTATCCGGGACGAATTGTCTTTATCATCCTGGTTGATCACATTATATTTCGATAAACATACTTTTCCCATACTAATGATATTTGAAGATGATTTATACGCTATTTTTTCAAATTAGCCACCACAGGCATTGATGGAAGAAGACGATCATGACAGTGATTACCCATCTTCCATAACGGGGCAGAGTCCAGAGGTCTCTAGCCAACCAACAAGTCAATCATCAAGTCAAAAGCAAGATTCTCAAGAGCTGATCAAGAGTGCAAAGCCAGACGAAGATCAAAGAACACCCAAGGGCAAAGGGCATTCTATTGTCACTAAAGAAAAAGAAGTAAGCAATTCTGATGCGGGCCTTTTATTAATAAATACAGTTTACCTAGTTTTGGATAAGCATTTCACTCAGAACGCAGATATACACTTCCTTCTCGCGCGTGGAGATGAAAAGGTCTTCCACTAGTGACCGCGGTAGATTTCGAAAACTGAAAAGTCGATATAGAATGAATGAGGAATTTCTCAATTATTGTTATTTCACGTAGGAAAACCAAGACAAATCAATGGCCTTTGGGAAAGGGAATGACAATGAAAGTCGACAAGGTCTTCGTCCTAGAGGAAAACGATCAATATCTCCACAAAGCGTCAGTAAAAAGGGTAACGATGGTGATCGCGCTAATATCAAAGACACCAAATCCGCTAGACTATCAAGTGAAGAAGAAAAAGGTCACAATTCTAGCGAGGAGAAAAACAAGAATAAGAAAATTATAACTAGAAAGAAAACCAGTGARAGTAAGAGCAGTGATATGGATAGCGGTGCTGATACTTCTTCATCAAAAGGTTCAGGACAACGACGGAGTCGATYGAAAAAATCAAAGTCACCTCAGCCTARAAAAACAAAATCTCCTTTACCTGTGGAAATCGTTAAGGTAACAAATCTGAGCTGAAAARTAAAGCTTCAAAATTCCAATTAGCTACCAACCATGGATATTTCGCGTTATTAACTKACCAGTCAACAGAACATAACTGTGTTCKATTTGCAATACTCGAATAATACAGCCATTTCAGAAAACGTTGAATACTGAAACGTGGTGTCTGGGAGACTATAGTGCCAGCTCCGTTCAGGCCAAATGTGACGAAACATGGTCTCTTTCGAAGCAATTTTTTAGCCATTTTGCAACCCAGCTAACGTTGAGGTTAATCGCAACAATGCGGAGCGGTCTTGGAATGCACCRTGTAGTATCATGATCCATTATTCGACGTTTTCTGAAATAGCTGGATATTTTAAAATAGTGTGTTAAAAAGAACAATTTGTGCTTCTAGGGTGCAAAGCATTCAAAATCCTCGACTTCTTCCTCGAATGACGACGATAAAGAATCCAGCAGTCGGCCAAGCAGTGCAAAGAAGTCAGCATTTGATATAGCTAAAGATATTCAAAAAGACACCACTAGAATATACCCCAAGGCTTTTAACGTTGCAAAGAGAATGGAAGCAATGAGAAGCAATGCCACCAATATGAGTCGTTCACAGGAACTTACCAAGAAAGTATTTGGACAAAAAGGAAGGTCCTTTAATCAGGTTAGAAACAATAAAATCTGGTTTTCACTTGTGAAGTAAGCGGAGAATAATAATAAGAAAGAAGTGCTAAAGGAAATAGTTTAATTTTTACTCGMGTGTAAGCGCCTTCCTTTTCTGTCTCCATTTCCATTTTATGGTGTCTTTGCTTTCATAGACTTTTGGTACAGTGTGTAATCTGTTTGCAAAATATGAGAGATGTTTTAATGTCTCAGAAAGCGTCAAACGCGACGAGACCTTATTATAGTTCTGCTCGATACAAATCAATGTTTTCCAAAAGTTAAAACCTTATGTGAATTTATAAATTGTTCCTCAGAAGCATCCAGAGGCAGAAAAAGAAAGGCTATCGCAAAGCGCGACTTTACCATCGAAATTGTCGTCGCCACCACGAGAAGATACAGTAAAGACAGGGCTATCACAGAGTATGCCATATTCAAAATCAAAAAGTTCTTTATCCAAGCCTAAAGAAAAGAGCAGCGATGAATCACCAGCGAAAAATGATTCTGGTTGTGAAGACGATCAAGTTGAGATTATACAGGACTCACTACCTCTAGATGATTCTCCAGAAAAGGTAAAGGTGTTTCTCTGGTTTATTGTCATAATCATTGCTTGTATTCTGGTGTCCTTTCTAATGCAAAACTATAGAAATAGTAAATATAATTATTATACCAAAGTAAACAAATTTAAATGTATGTCATGGTGATGGTTTGATGACAGTGGTGATTGACAACGAACGAAAATACCTATCTATAGAACCGATATCTCTGTACAGTATTGCCGGGCGGCAATACACTCAGTGACCTTACTATTAGWCGTCGCAAGAACTTTGAGTAAATATGTCTATCGTATTTCCAACAGATCACTAGGCGTAGGTCGGATATACCTAGAGTTGGTCACAGAACAGTGCTTGAAGAACGACTCGTTAAGTCCGCACCACCTAWTAAGAGAACAAAAAAGAACACACAATTCGAGCAGATTGCTCCACGCCTTGCAGCTATGCTACGTAAGGGAGGGCGAGACTCGAWAAACTCTTTATTAATACCGGAAAACACTGGTTGGGGCTCATCTACTTCTGCTTCCACAACCACCACATCGGAAACAGATTGGCCAGGCCCAAAAGCGGTGCGTTTTTGCCAACAAATATTTATTTGATGATTTCAATGATATMAATAATTCACAGTTAAAACACTGTCTAGTCCTTCGTGTACTAGAGAAAGTWAGAGAAATTGAATGTAAAATAAAAAATCCATAACCGAAAGACTCTATATAAAGCAATGAAAGCGAATTGTATAAGGGTTATTAGTTAATTTTTCATGTATACGTGATTGGAGCTGACAGATTAAATGTGTTAGTATTAAAAATAAAAAAACGATTCATGGCATTTTCGAATAAAACAGTATAGACCTTGCAGTTCWCGATAGGACCCGTAGAAATTCTGCTTTGTTACAGAGGTACATTTGAAAATAATTTCCGTTGTCAATCATCATTTTCACTCTGATATCTGATCATCATCGTTTTCATAGCGTAATTAAGCTTTAAACATATATCATAACTGTACCATTTTCAGGAGCCWGGACCAAAGCCTAGACATAGCCTARTACCAAAAATGTCAGTTCGCGAGAAAAGGGGAGCAAGGAGCAGGGCGCAACAGGAAAAAGCAATAAGGAAGAGGGCGTCTATCAGTCCTGGACTAAGTGTTATATCAGAAGAGCAAACGCCTAAAGAAAGTAAAAAAGGTCAGTGTTATCTCTAAAACACAGACTACAATTCTGCTATCTTTCCATGCCTAGTATTGTTGCATTAATTTTTTTTTATTGTTTTGTGTTGTTTTGTCCGTGTAATACTCATTTGAGCCGTTGTACTTTGTTATTTAATGCCTGACACCGTGGTTATTGTACTGGCATGTTGATTATGATTCTTGTGTGTGTGACAATAAATTGGTTCTCCCATAGATGATCGACCAGAATTAACAGCAGTTGAACATCCCTCGAGAAAGTCGGAGAAATCTGCCGAAAATCCAAATACTGATGGTAAATTAATCGTAATTATGTTTGTGATCATTTTACAAGTTTTAAAGCATACTTTCCCTGAAATTTATTTTCCACAGACACTGTTGATTATTCACACAGTCAAGTTCATGCTCGCTCGAAAAGGCAAATAAAGGAAGTCAGTAATGAAAGAAATAACGAAGTAGAGACAGGACTCAAGAAYCAGGAAGATAGTGCACCCATGGAAGACTTCCCACTTGATTTACCTGAWCTAGAAATAGACCGCACACATAAAGATGCTGGTCTTTCGGGACAAAAGTCAGCTGAAAATGACAAAAGTGATACGATTATATTTGTAGACGAGAAGTCACTTCGKCATGGCACATCCTCAAAGCATCGTCACAAAAGAAAAGCAGAAGATAGTAGCAATGATACACAAGACGATGATGGAGTAGTTTCGAARGGAGATACGCGAAAAAAGCAGTACCGAACACGAAAGAAAACCCAAAGTCAAGAGTCCTTAGGTAAAGATGAATCTGATAGTGATGCTTATGGTCTTAATGACAATAACGAAGTGCCGAAGAAAACAAAATCCAATAAAGGTAAGCTACATTCCTTGTAATGAACAAATCGTACATAGTATACTCCAGTTTCGAATTCAAAGCGAATAACCGCTGTTTTACTTGACAGCAGATTCTATTACGCAAAGAACTTACCAAAGACAAAAGAAAGCACGAGAAAATGTTGTTAATACAATAGCGCTAAGAATCTACATTTTCCCCGAGTTGAGGCTAACCCTGCTCATACCTTAGGTCTTATGGGAATACAGGGATAATCTCAACTCGGGGAAAATGCAAATTTTCAAGTCTATTGTAATAACGACATTTTCTCGTGCTCTCTTTTGTGTTTGTAAGGTCTTTGCGCAAGAGAATCTGTTGTCAAATAAAGCAGCGGTTATTCGCTATGAATTCGAAACTGGAGTATTGGCCATATGAAAAACGAGCAGAAGACTGGGTATGAGCACATAAAACGGTCCATATTTTTAAACATCTGTTTTCACCATATGAAGGAGTATATCTCAACTAGTAACTTGGCGGAGTTTAAGTTTCAGATGTTAAATATCAGCAGAGTTACGAGCATTTGAAATGTAACAAAAACGTGAAAACGAGGCTGGTCAGGCCTTTATACTGATTTTCACTCAAACCTTTGCAACTTCAAACACCTGTAATTTCTGGTCCTTAAACATTAGAGCATTGAAACTTTCAAACCTTATTCATTGTAATGTATTCTTTCAACGGATAGCAAAGTTACAATAAAAATCATATAAACTAAGGAGTTACGATAGCCACGCYCTTTTTCATATGGTCTATGATAGCTTGGGTCTTGTTAAGCTCATTTGATTATAATCAATAGTTACAACGCATGGAAAAGACAAAAATACTAAGAAAGAGTCTTCTGGTGACGAGACTGATGACCATTATAAAAAACACGAAGTGTCGAAGCGAACAAGACCCAATAAAGGTAAGCTATGTTTCGTGTACATGTTATCCGTACATAATATGAGGGCTTGGGCCTGGTTAAGCTTATTTTATAATAATCGATAGTTACAAYGCATGGAAAAGACAAAAATCCTAGMARAGAGCCTTCTGATGAAGAAASTGATGATCATTATAACAAACACGAAGTGCCAAAGCGAACGAAAACCAATACTGGTAAGCTATATTCTCAAAATCAACAAAATACACATATTAGTATGCGGGCTTGGTTTAATTCTTTTGATTATAATTGATAGTTACATCACATGTCAAAGACAGAAATTCCAAGAAAGAGTCCTACAATGATGATGTTGATGATCTGTATGACAGTTATTTAGCGCCAAAGCAAACCAAAACCAGTAAAGGTAAAGTCACTTGTTATATGAGATCTAAACTGCAGTAAGGCTTGCGTTTGATGCCAGCTTAATAGACAAGTCATTCATTATTCTTTCGTTTTCATGAGATCTCTCTGAGTTCTTCATATGCGGTGATGTGCCTGACTTGACGAATGCGATTTTAGTAAAGATTGTTTTAAAGTAGCATGGGCGATATCATTTTGCATTGGAAAAATATAGATCATGATCGATAATGCATCTTTTTTGATTCACAGCAAAGTCACATGGTAGAGAAACAGATCCAAAACAACACCCTTCTGATGAAGAGATGGAAGACCTTTATGACACGAAATTCGTAATGCCTTCGAGAACAAAAACTTCAAATGTTTGTAATAGAGGTAATCTTTTTTATCATCAGTGTGATTCCGCTTTACCCTATTCAGAATTCTCATATAAGTGAGTATCATTTATTGCCTTATGTCTTGAACACCGATGAGTTCAAACCAACGCTTTCCTATATATTTGATTGCGCAATCTTTCTAGCAGTTTTAACTTAAAAGTATGCTTCGTGGCGAGAAAGCATAGAAACCACGCCCAAGACTATTCGTTACCATAATGCACACTTTATGGTGACCTCTAAGTGGATTCAAGCATCCAGCAAACTATAGTCCGGAGTTTCTGCACAAACTGCATCGGGCTTGATCCTTTTATCGAGTCATCTTCATGTTAGGAGCCTGTACTTAATTCAAATACCTATCCATCTATTGATAGGARCATCTTACATAAATCCTAGTAACCAGCATTCTACAAAGAAAGACAAATCCAAGCCAGTTAACAAAAAACTCCAAAACGARGATAGATTGCTTTATGACATTGAAGACGACTTCGACTCTATTCAAGATGTCCAAAAAGAAAGTAAACTAATAAATACTGACATGACGATGCTTGCACCCCCTCGAGCTGACAAGCGCAAAAAAGAAAGAAAAACGAAGGCTACACTTTCAAATAAGTCGAGAGTTAATCAAGACGTCAATGACAGTGAGGATAGTGAGGCAATAAAACTTCGTCAGTTTTGCGAGGTGAGCATATCAAATGGAATTCATATTGCAATGTAAAAGCATGATAGTTCTTTCAAAAAGCGGGGCGATTCGAGAATGTACATCTGAAAGTCACTATGAGTATTGTGGCAACATTCACCATCAAAGGCTGTCAATACTGTTGCTTTCATTACATGAAGATCTTTGATAATGTTTTGCTTGGTTTGTCCTCGTCTTAGAAAACAAGTAAACATCAACCATAACGCACTAGTCAATTGAAACACCCGCCCCGACCCCCGGGGCTAGCGGGGCACTGAAAGAGGACGTGACGTGAAGTCTTTTTCGATTGTTTACTAGTATGTAATGGGTTAATTTATCAATCCTTATTTTCATAGCTTTTAAAACCTTGTCGAGGCTTTGATCCATCACGCCATGGTAGCCATTTTGGATGTTATTAGGATCATTGTAATATGTTGACCATGCACAAAAGAATTGTCTAAAGAGTTGGGGGAAATGAAAGAATACATTTAGAATTCCACTGTTTTCCCGGAGCCTCGTCTGCATTTTTTGTGTTAGGTACCAAGGAATATTTATATAATTTTGCAACTGAACATCGACGCCATTATGTGATGGCTTAAAACCTCCGTGAACCTACATCTCAGCTAATTGTAGTTCTGTGTATACTGTATTATAGAATATAAGCAGTGGTCGTAAATTCACATCAACACCTGCTTCAAAGAAATTCGACCAATTGATGGATGATTATGAAAACGAAAAGGTAGGTTTTGCTGTTACAAATAAACGGCCGATCTTGAAACGATTTTCCAACTATAAAGACATTTACAATGTTCAAACATGTGCCTTCAGTTTCTTCACGTAGAACATTCTCTAATGTCCATGCACAATTTTCAAAAAATTCCTTTTTCATTTCTCCACTAAAACATTCCTGACATTCTAGACCATTTTACACAAACGTAGAGTGGATATTTTTGTAAGTCGAGTGGATATTTGAACATTAGAAATGTCTTAGAATTAGKTAGCTTGAATCAAATCGTCTTTTTATACAAAAAGGACCTTGAGAAAGATGACTCCGAAAAAGAATTATCAAGTTACTCTGACGTCGAAACAGAACCGAGCAAACGCCAAAAGCATCGCCATAGTGATAAAAAGGTGTCTAAAATGAATAAACACGAGATGCCTCGCCTRCACCCATCCATTACCCAAGTGACTACGGTAAAAAAAAATCATTAATCAATGATGAGCTATCAATTTGAATTTAAAAATCAAGACTGAATTGAGRTACAAGGATGCGCAGGGAACTTTGAAGGAGACTATTTTTTCTTATCAGTATTGTTGCTATCTCTTCAGAATGAGAGATTTGGAAGACTTCAGGCTAGTAATCCATCAAAGTGGAAAACACCCGAGCAAASTCGATTAGATGATTCAGGTAATATAGTAGAGTTAGGCAGTGCGCCACATTAAGCAGAATGCACCATTTTCAACTTTATTCATATTGTTCCTCAGTCAAAAATTGACGTGGGAAATCATTTTAAATGCTTATTTTATTCTTAGTATTCTTCTTTATTCCATCGTTACAGACAATCAAATCAAGTCGTTCATTATCATGATGTTTCCATTCTATTTCCCTTAGGTATTGGTTCAGCATCTACAGGATCGCACACATCGTTTGTAAAATCAAAGAAAYCACGTCAAAAGGGTGAACTTTTAGTGACTAAGTCTGTCAGCAAGACACCTATCACCCCAAGGACATCTGCTATAATGAAGCGTATGTATATCACATAAACAATATCAGTAGTGACYTTCCTCGGAAACACTGGGTAAACGTCTGTAGATCCTTCATAGCTCCCATTCGCGAGGATGACACCAACATAATCTTAGATTCAAAGAACACGCGTGCTATGGTTACCCTCATCCGATTTTGGCAGCCCAAACATTTGTTGTTTTTTTTTWAAAAAGCGGACCATCGAGGGCTTTCAATAAATGATGATGTAAAAGCCTCCATTCACACGAAATATGACGGAAAATCTGTAAAACGCTSCGAATACGCTAGTGGATGCGACGTATTTACGCAACTAAAAAGTTGAGGAATATACAAACATTTCAATCATCGTATGGACTAGGAAGTTTTCATCACTGAGTCAATTGGAAATACGGCTCTTCAGGCCCCGGGGAATACAGTGTAGCATCATCGTTACACCAGGGCAACTAAACATACTAGGGCAACTAAAATGTGGATAAATRCAGTTTTAAAGCCTCGACTATAATATGTTAATTTTCCGGCTCTCACCAGGGATTGATGGGACGGGAATCCAATATACTTTGACAACTGTATATTCCCATGGCCGGATGGAAGTTCTTACTTTTCGATTGTTATTAATTCTGTCATTCCAAATCGCTGTATATCCACAAGACTTCTCATCCCATTGCTTACATTTTAGGAATTGACGAGGAGCATAGTAACATACAAAATGTAAGCTACACTCGAATTTATATACGATTCATGTTTAAAGTAATGGAGACCTATTTGTTGAGACCTGTGTGCTGATGATGACTGTCATCAGGAAAATATACTGTAGCTTTCCACTTACTATTTGTGTAGACATCTAATATATCTAGTGTCTTTGCAGGTTGAAAAGCCAAGGCGAAAGTCTCAAAAGTTCGTCGACTGGACGTCATCTGGTAGGAATGACATCTTTTGTCGCCTTTATKCCAATTTGATCTCAATGACTCTTGTTTTTGTTAAGTTTGTATTTCAATCTTCCTGGCAAATGAAGCAGGTTTAAAAAAAAACTTTGTAAAAGTGCTTCAAATGGAATGCAAATGTCGGGTAGGACTGTTCTGTTTATGATAAGTCACTTGCAATCCCATCCGACCTGGATTTTTCTCAAGTGGTAATTTTCGAATAACCTATCCCCCTTATTTGATAGAGGACTCACAGAACTGTAAAATCTACCCCAGTATTGCAAATCGCCTGTACACGTCCCCTTTTAATAGGTCCCTCGAAGCAATATGAAGACGATGAAGAAAATGACGACGAGGAGTACATTCAAAGGGTACCCAAAAGACTTAAAGAAAAGACAAAGAGTGTTCACAATCCTCATATCAAGCCACGAAAACTTTTTAAAGATCAACAGCATGGTAGGTATAAATAGTGAAGTCTGTGTTGCGAGTTAGAGCTTTTATATACTTAATAGATAATGTTTTGCTCACCATTACTGATTGTGAAGCTGTTGCTTTACAAGCTTTGGTGCACATCATTCTGATTGTCAAGCTGTTGCTGTTTCCAACTGACGTTTCAGGATAAAAAACGCTCTGTACTAACACTTTTTACACATGYGCTAGTTACCTTCGATACTTTTGATGAGCAATTTCAAGCAACCGAAGGCTACCGAAGCTCCGATGACTCAGTTGTAGGGTAAGTCGAGTTACTATTAGCAATATTTTACAAAATGCAGATTCTTAATGATTGTATTTTATGCTCTTTACAGTGACATTACAAATATCATGTCGGATCTCGAAGGAGTACTGAATGATAGGCTACGTGTAAGTAGTCTTAATAATGTTTTATAATTACCCCCTACATGTAATTTTACAATGCATTGCATTTTTGGCTTCTTCCAATCATAAAACTAATAGAATTCTACCATTGTTCCAGCGTAAAAGAAACCATCTACAAAGATTCTGTAAGAAGACGTTTGACGTGACCCTTCAAACCGTATCCAGTCACTTAGAACAAAGTCTTGCAAGCAGGTACATCAACTATASAGTAAGGATTAAGGATTTTCATTAAGAGGGGAATTCCTGTGTTAACGTGTGCACACGAGTTGAGGTCTTCTCGAACAGAGTTATCTCTAAAGATTCTTAGAAATGAGGATACAAAGTGGGCKGATACCAAATGTGCTCTCTCATTACTCACTATTACGACACCCGAAGCATTCGCGTATTATTATGAACTTTACTTTCGGCACAAAAATGATATAGCTTTTTTATTCATATTCACGGGTGCATGTTAAATGCCATTGATACTTTCATTTTGAAAAGTCAACCAATCCCTAAGCCCTGGACATTTAAATAATTCATTTAGAAGCAGGAGCTGTTGATGTCTTATATTCTTTTTAGGGATCAGCTTGTTGATACTTTCAATGATCAGTTCTTAAATGAAATGGACAATTTGAAAGATGAAATGGAAAAGACTAAGAAAAATGAACAAGAAATCATGGTACGTGCCCTGATCAGTCATTTAGACAAAATTAGGTGAATTTACRGGTTGCAACACTGAACGGCTGCACTTAGTCCCATATACCCTTCTTAATTTGAAATCTTTCAACCAGAAGTTGAACGTATCTCATGATACTGTTCTGGTATCATTGACGCATTGTATCGTTATTGATATTTTGTAGGCGCGTATACAAGAAGACATGAGAACACTAAAAACAGCGAGAGTGATACAAGAGAAAAAGTAAGTTGGGCTGTGAATGCCCATCAATTTGTTAGTGTTGTAATGATTTCATGTCCTATTTACTCCTATAATGGCATCAGGACCCACCCCTTCGAAGTTCCTCGAAGCATTTCATTCCTAAGTACTTACAGCAATGTTCATTGTTGACCAATCACCACTATCCATGGTTTCATTTCAGAGTAAAAAGCCTCCAGAATATGTGCACGGAGTTTCAAACTGACCTGATAAATGACAGTCGATCTCATCACCCTGATCAACAGGTTTGTAAGATGATAGGGAAATCCTCCCCCTTCTGTACTATAGTTTCTTACATCTGTTTCCTAATTCGTGTCTCTGAATTTCAAAGGGAGCGTTGCAGGAGAATATTCGGCAGGAACTTATCAGTATACAACGCGACTTTATGAGGGAAGCGGTAAGATTATCTAGGCTCTATATTTCCCTATCTCTCTATCTTATATTTTCTCTCCTTTATAACTATAAAAATCAGTTTGTAGATTAGTGCAGCCCAGTCGTATAAGGTTTCATATTTTGCAATGGGCAAAGTGCTTCTACACATTTACCAAGAGCTTCACGCTGTAGAAGGCAGTTATATCTGAGCGGTTACACGAACCGTACACTACTCGTACAAAACCGCGCTATAAATGGTTGCTTTCGTTTTTTACAAATAACCGTTTTCAAATCCGTATTCAAAACCCCGCCATACGGACAGCCTATAAGTATGGAAGAGGGTCTGATTGCTTGATATTTTACTTTCAGCAATCCCAGGATCGCGACAATCTCAGACGTTCACTCAGGTCTGTTTTAGATGTTACCATGATGTGACGCAAATTATTTGGTACATTTGTTACTGTTCCATAGTCAATGCCAGCATTCGCTTTGTTTCGTTTTGAGATGTGCAGCAAAAGCCATTCTAAACCTGAAATACTTTTAGGAATGATTGATGTGGTCAAAATCCAATAACAAAAGTTAAGTTTTCTCCTTTTGGGGACAATGCAATGCTGTTTTTTCCTCGAAGTTTTTTTCTTTTCTGAAAGGCTGTTATAACAAAACCTCCATTATCAAACACAACTTTTCTTTATGGCTCAACTTGCAGGTACAATTTGCTCGTCGGTGTATACTGTACTACTATAAAGTACTGCACTGGAAAAAAGGATATTTTATCTATCAGTCATACAATTTTTGACTCTAAAATATTTAAAGTATATGAAGTTCTGGTTCAAAACCATTTTATAGTGTAACTATATATTGCTTGACAAAATCAGTAAAGAAAGCTGAATTTGGCTGCTTTAGCTTTTGAATGTTTTCAGCTTTTCAAATGTAATAAGCTAACTTTTCATCTGCTATAAAAAAGTTCTTGTTATTTATTAGAGCGGGTGCAATTAATAAAAAAAGATATTTATATTAAAGATCTATTCTATAGCTTGCCTAACTCGATCTTGCTGTGAACTGGTCACGCCTTTCACTCGCCTTTATCCGGCACATGTAGGCTGATATATAGAGTTCGAGAGGATGAATGTGGGATAGAAAATGCTACATTCCGGGTCCTGTCTACAAACCAGCCAATGCAAAAACATGGCCATTTGAATATCGTGGAATAATTAAACCCATAGTTTAATTGAACTTTTTTGACAAATTTTTATTTTTATCCCTTAGAACCAGAATATAAAAAAGTGTAATGTTACATGGCTATTGCACGATATAGCGATTATATAGAGATATATAGATAGTTTGTAATTATATGATAGATATTGATATGACGGATGTTATTATGTTTGTACGCCATTAGGAAGCCATCTTGGAAGAAAATACGGATATGTAAGATGTCCTCCGTCAAATCTCATTTTGTTTCTCTTGTCRAGAAGTGGTTCGACCTTATCCAACAGGTGGAAATAATGTTTGTAAAGAACGTCGCGACCACGTTTATCAGTMAGRTGCTGACCATAATCGAACAAGCGGTCAAGGCGTAGCACGCCTAAATTGACAAACATGCGATTTTGAATCTAGAGAAATGTAAAAAAATAGAAAAAAGTCATGGTTGGTGATGTCTTGATCCTGTTGGTTTAAAGGGCACTTAAAGATAGATCTGCAACTGGAGGGGTTTTTACAACAGAGCTCGCAATCATGTTGTAAGTCAAAGTGTAGTACTCTTTACTAGATACTAATAATGTAAACTGAATAAGACAGAACATCCTACTATCATCTAGTGTACTTTGATATTTTAGGGCATATTTAAGGTTCGTCATCATGCCACAAAAGAGCGGAATGAACTTCATCATTACGTAGTATTCCGGTGACTTTTGTCTTAGCTATCGTTATGAATACTAAAATAACTCAGTCAGAGGGGTGMTATATCCTTACCGCTGCTGTAACTCTGTATGGTAGGTTATAAATGGAAAACTTCATATCAGGTCCACGTGAATCRTTGTACAGTTTAGTTGGTGCATTAGGCGGGTACGCGGCGTAGTCACTGAGAGGAAAATTGACTGCTGCATGCTGACAAGTCATTAACCATATCATACGACTGATAAYATCAATCAGTTCTTTCTTTGTCCTGACGATGGCAGGGAATCCTTTAATCTGAAATTAGAAGCAATTAATACATATGAGTATGACTAGCTATGGTGTGGAAATCATGACTTTTTTCTTTTGCGAATCAAGCGAACAACCGTGAACAGATCAACTGAAKTTTGACTGGATTCGCCTTACATTTCCTTCTCCTCCAGACGTTCCATTTCCGTCTCTTGAAACCTCATTCACATATGCTCTCAGCTCGTGATCGGCGTATACATCGTAGTCGGTGTTATAGTACCTATTATGATTGCAAAATTGTTAATTATGTATATATATTTTTTCTGTTACTATATTTAAAACTGATATAGTATTTATCAAGCTAAAGTTAATACCAATCTCGTGCCTTTTATAGTGCACAAACCATTTTATATTGTGGCCAGAGGCTCTAGGCTGGGGGTATCACTATTCACCCTCCGTCCAACCGGTCAACAGTCTTATAATCTGCTCATTTAGACCAATCTCGTACCCAGAGCCCGCACTTTTGCCATCCAGCATACCGCTGACGTTAGCCGAGAAGACTCTGGGCTCGAGATTGCATTTAGACTTGCTATGATATACTGACTTACGCATTGATGTAGTCTTTCGCCATGTTTTTGATAGCTTTATCAAGAACCAATCCATCATCACGATACGGGTAGTATGTTAGATGCTTTTTATTGTATACACCACGTTTCTAAAAGAAACATCGCAGTTACTTAATGATAACTAGATTTGAGCGTAGCCATCTTTGGAAATAACAACACTGTTTTAGGAAAGTGAAGGGATGGAAAAGCTATTCTGATGGGATTAAGTCCTTCCATATTTGCTTTTGAAAAAATAAGCTGGCATATCGTCGAATTGATAGATCGGAAGGTTTTGACGGTTGATAGTTTGCAGAGTTTCATGGATAACACTATGAGCTGTCCGATTATGTTGCTTTGAGTGCATGATGATTCTCTGGTCGGGTTTCTATGGGTTGTAGTTTCCCGTTTTTGATTTGCAATTTAGTTTCTCAATATAGTGTTTTCCTGGTAAAATATTTCTTGTTATTCTGGGCTGAGGTAGGTTGATTTGATTTGGCAGAAAAGCTAATTACCTTCAAATCGTTGACAAGGTCCATGTCTTCCCAATCGATTGTAGTTGCTGCTCTATTGACCAGAGTAAACGTTCCTTGCCATCCTATTGGAAAAAGCTGATCAACGGCACCTCTTGGTGTAATGAGGGTCGGTGCACCAAACGTATTAGATGTAACAGCACCACGGCAATGGTACCTCATAATAATGAACAAAGGATGGTACTTTGATAGATGTCTTTCCATGCTAATACAAAAGACTTCTACAACAAAGTGTACTTTACTAAGATGTTCAACTARTTGTGCGTGAAGGAGGTCGGTCAGCTGAACGTTTAGTTTCGCCAAAGTCCATGCGCAGTTATCCCGTGGCGTGTAAACCTTGGACTCTGAAAATCACAAAACAGAAACAGTTTATATCTTCGGTGATGAATGTTGGAGAACTTCTATGACTTTAATCTTTTATTGGGCACTACATGCAGACACGACGTAAAAACTAATGCTATTCTTGTGTTTGTCCAATAGATTATTCACTGCTTTTTCACTCTATACCTACACACCTGCGCGAACTGACGTTTCACCGAATTATGGTCAATGCAACAACGATTTTTCTTCTCAAACATTCAGCATACCTGGTTTGTAATCCATTTGAATTGCAAACGGTTTAAGACAACGATTATTCTTACGGTCGCTCTTATCGCGGTACTTTGCCGATACAAATAAGGCGATAGGAGAATGAAGTGGCCAYAAGTCACGTTTTGGGTGATCTCCAGATGGCTGGGCTAGGTCAGGCCTTATTGGAATATCATCACAAAGTCTATGACGAAGAACAAATATGCGACCGTCTTTTATAGCCTGAAACAAAAAGATCTATTCAGATAAAGAAACATAACTGGACTGGCGTACCAGTTTTATAGAGCTACGAAAGATTCTACCCATCTTCTGTAACTATCCTTATAGACCCCTTGCATGTGACGTCAAAGCAGCTTCATCTGGAGGACAAAACAAAAGATTTTTATCCTCTTGGGAACTAGAATCCATTGTTTTGTCCTCCAGTTGGAGCTGCATTCCCATGAATTGCAAGGGGTCTATTCTGTCAAACGTCTTTTTAGAAAGTAATATATCGATGATATTTAAAAAAATATCATCGCAGTTTGCGTAGCTTTCACAGTCAATACTAACTCATTTTACCTTTTCTAAGCTGCTCTTGCCTTTTTTCTTCTCGCCATTATCAGGTACACAGCTACCATACGACTGCTCCAATGCATCCTCCCAGTCAAAGTCSGGGTTAAGAGTTTTTTTAAGTTCATCCCAGTTCATTCCTCCTGTATTTCAAAATAAGTGAAAGCATTAAGCACACGTGAAACGTTAGTGAACTACAAGTACTGACGAAAAAAGGTATAAATTCGTATTGTTCTTTGTCTGTTTCTTTTTTCTTTCTTTTTTTGTATTTTTCCTTTTTTATTTTCTTTGCGTGCGTATGTGTATCTGTCATCGTCTACTTTTATATTTGTACTTACGATCGCCGGATAAAGTAACCTGTTTTAACGTCATTGGATTTATACCAGCCATGCGCTGTTCTGCAAATAACTCGTCTGTTATCCACGAACTTGAGTCGTTTTGAAAAAGCTCGCTTTCCGAAGGTTTGCGTATAAAATGCTAAAATTGAAAATATCGATTTGATTTTATTTGGTATTAAAACTATGACTAGAYCTACTTTTTTATTTACCTCAAACAACTTAATAGGAACGCCTGCAAAAACATCAATTAGTTGCTGGTACTCTGGTATTTGTGGTATATCAGGAAGGTTCTTCGTTTTTTTCAGATATCCATTTAAAGTAATATTAGTTGCTACAAAAAGACCATGTTGTAATTGTGTATGCACACCCCAGAAAGGCTCTGTTTTCAGGAATGCTAAGTATTCATTTATGGACATATTGAGTCGGGGATACTGAAACTGCTGCGTCGGTTTTGTAAGAGAAAAGATGGCTCGTCGTTGTGCAAGGGCAGTTAGGCGACGATTATAGCACTCGGTTCCATGCTGGACATGTTGAGGTAGCGATGCTTCACAGTGGCTGACACTATGCAATAAACAAAATATTTTAAAATCTGTCACTCAAATCACTATAAATATTRATTAAATTAATTGATGTCAATATACTGATGTACATGACGTCATTAGGTTGACGTTTATTTTCCAGCTGTATATACATTAAGTGATACTGAAATACACTAGCAAAAGGACTTATCGAGCTGAGCTGACTCACGCACAGCACTTGTGTATTGATATCTCGTTCCACGATTTACGTCAATTGTTACGGTCATTTTAGTAACATTGATTTCTTATACTTGAATATTGCACGGTGATCCTATGAAAATGAAGTCGTTTAATCATGCAAATGACAGCGGTATTAAAACCAGAAGCTTTCTTGAGCTTATTAAGTTAAAAACAATCTATGAGCTCTAAGTCCAATGTAGTTCGGACTATTGGATCACATGACGAGTCTATATATAACACTGATATTTGATTCATCAGTGTTTTATCATGCAGCGTTCTATTTTTCTGCTAAACGGATTTTAGACATCCAAGTAGTACTTGTTATACAGTAGTCTATAATATTGCAATCATTCTCAACGAGCCTCCATTTTTCATCATCAATAAACGACTGCGATGGAGACAACAGCTATTCTTATGAAATGGCATTATGGGTAACCAGCACAAACTGGTTGTTGAGACAGGAGCAATGTAAAATGATTTGTAAGCTCTCTTTGATTCCACTCTGAGTCAAATATTCAAAACAAAGCACTTTTTGTCAATAGGAAACCCTCTCTCCTATTCACTGAATGACATGTTTATCTCAAAACTTAATCATTCGATTTACATTGGGAGAATTTCTTAAGGATGGAAATCTCGAACATTTCGACTGAAGCGAGAAAATATAAGTACCTCAAGTAATCTTTTTAATAGATAATTTGGTTCGCCAATATAGAAAAATTGCAACAGAATTTTCTGTGTGTCGAAAAGCTGCTTTACTTTACTTTACTTTTTTTACAATTTTCTGATCTCTTCCAAGAGATTGAATGAATATCGCTAATTACAAGCTAGTAAGATAATCTTTACTTACCCAAAACACTGCTGTACAACTGATAATAAGCTAAAAAGTGCCAACAAGTGTTGCTTGCTAGCTGGTTTTAGCATTTTTTTGTTCTTTTCTGGGAACTGGCTAGAGCCTCGTCATCCAACTAATGCAATTTGCTAGCCGTGTTCACCTTTTAACACCACTGTCACCCACTTCTCTATAACAATCAAATAAAAAGCTATTAGTACTTTAATGCTTTCAATCTGAAGTGTTAACTCTTTCGTTAGGAACGTAATTACAGCGTTAACCGACACAAAGTACGGCTAATTTGCTGTCAATCAAAAGTTACGATCCTCTTTTCCATTGGTGATTTTCCCTTGGAACTGATTGTAGCGTCGTGACGAACCTAGTAAAATCTACTAAAAAAGCATTGCCATCAGAGCCATAATTAATTGTTTTTCTGTTGTTGTTGTTTTTGGCATTGTTTTATCATGATTACTATAATTTAGGTAGCTTCCAACTGGATTTGCATTTGTTCTTAATTTGCTCATCCCCATGAAGAGTGTTGGATTGTATCCTTCGTCAGTACACGTGTATCACTTGATAAATTTTTACTGCAATGCAAAGCGCTTTGACTTGACCTTCATCGTTTGATAGATGATAAAAGTTATTTTCACATCCACAATAAATCAATATTGTTTAAAACTGCGCCTACAAAAAATTCCCTCCCTATCATTTGAATTGTGCCCGTAGCTTTACCAAGTTTTAGAGCTTCGATTCATGCAGTAGGTTTTGGTCGTCCGCCCGTACGGGTCGTATCAAATATGAAGAATAATTACTGACGCTAAAGAGGAGGGATTACAGTAATCAGAGTTATAATTAAGTCTATTAGTAGCAAAGTGCCCATTTATGTTGTCGTGGGCCCCTAATATGGAATGAGCCGATAAAAAAACTTTACATAAGTCTCAAATCTTATGGTCCAAGTTTTGACCAATTTGGGGATCTTCAAAAATATCGAAAAAAGAATAAGCATCGAAATAAGAAGATATAGTGGGAAGATTAACTGATACTAGTTCTTGTTATATTCTCATACGGTATATTTTAATAATATATGAAAAACTATTTGCCAGATAACGAAGGAAATATTTTAATGAGGGAAAGTAGTGACAGCTGGCATGTTGCAATAGCTACAATTTGTGACGACGCCTAAAGCGTATTACACAGTTATAACTATCAGCTAGAACTGCAAACTTGAAATTTCAATGACATTACTGAGATATCGTACATCTTTCCTTGTCTTTTGCCTCTTCATAAGTACATCTTATTATTTATTATAAAGAATATGTTACAGTATGCGAAGTCGCTGTTCTAATCAGTATCGGTTAAAAGTTAAAATGACTAGTGTGGGATATGTTGGAAAGCAATAATGGAGACAAACGATGTAAAATTAAAGACCTTTTAACAAAGGAATAATTAGCTTATAAATTGAATCATTTCGGTAAAACATGAACAGAGCTGTTAAACAAAATCATTAAAATAACGAGGTTTCATTCGTTAATTGTGGCTAAACGGACTGTATAGTTCTGGCTTACTTGAAAAACGTTCTTTTTTTTTACACTATTTGAAATCATGATGAAAGTAATTTTTTCATATAATTATCCATAAAATACCTGTATTTTTTTCATTACGTAAAGTTGTTTTTTTTTTCACTACTGAAAAGAACACATTCGTTTTTTCTCTATATATTGGAGGCAAATAAAAGTTATTTTAAAACATCATTTGCTTTCATTGATAATTGTGTATGATAAACAGAATATTACATGGTCGCTTGGAGATACGAATTTTACCTTCTCGTGTTGAAAATATATTCGCCTCGCTCACTTGTGAGAGCTCTTCATTTAACAATCGAAGATAAAATCCGTATCTCCGCGCGCCCATGTAATATCCTCTATTTCTAATGGGATTCACATAAATAGCCTGACGTTTGAATACGTTATGCAGGAAATCTCAAGTACTTTGTTCGAACTGATTCTTTAGCAGGAGAAGAGGAATTCAATAAAGACTTACTGAGAATAGCCCCCCTTATCCAATTCTTATAGATCAAAAAAGCATTTCGAAGTAAATCTGTTTCCTATAGTTTATAACTATAGAATAACTGTATTTAATTATAGAAATAATTTATCCGCTTTGCAGGTTACAACCCTTCGTAACAATACCCTCAGATAAAATAAAAAAGTTAAAGCACTTACCATTTGAATTATTTTAGGAGAGTCTTCTAAAATACCGTTAACTATTATCGCTTGTGTTTGTGTAGATTAAATAAGAGGACTGTATATTTAGATTGTAGTATGGTTGTGTACAAGTCAGTTCTCCGAGGGGGCAATAGATATGCCCGCGAAGACTATAATTAATCCAGCTGACTCTTATGTAAAGTGTCAAATGTTTGACATATGTGATACTGGACTTACTCTCTTATAAGAACCTACAATTTAAGGCCTAAAAATATCAATTTAGACTCCATTTACATAATAACCTATTTAGCCTAAAATCTAAAACAGGTTCTTATAGAAATTAACCTAAAAAAATCTTCATCCAAAAAAACATGACTCAGAAGTAGTGTACTTGAACATGTATACACTTCTACATTTGTTATAAAAAGTGTTAAAAAAAACCTTGTATCATCCATTTATCTTCCCATATTGCTTCATATATTGATAAAGAACACGGAAAAAACTCACAATAACACTCATTAAATAAGAACCTATTTAAGAATCTGCGTAGCCTAAAATTCCACTAGGCACCATTTACATAAGAACCCGTTTAGACTAGTTGAATTTGAAAAAATGGGTTCTTATAAGCGAGTAAGTACTGTACTGGACTTTGCAAGAGTATGATATGATTTCTACAAAAACATCAAAAAGGATGGCAAAATAAATGTCTGCATTGGTACACTCGACCTAAGTCCTCACTATCCCAACCGCACCTTTTCACACACTTGGGATTTTTCGGTGACCCAGTGGAAAGGTCGGGGAAACTCGGACAATCTATGGACTGCGGATGCAAGATTTCCCGCTGCGTGTTAATATCCTTATTACACATAATTTGATCGTTTACTAATATCCAAAATACAAAGATGACTTATTTTGACACATGTACTTGCTTTGTATAGATCAAGAAGCATATAATATTTTGCTTCATTCTAAAAATTACAAGAAAACAAAAGAAAATTTATTGCCTTTCAATTAGCAATTCGTTCCTGTTTGGAAAATATTTCGTGTATTTTCTACTGTAGTGACCCTTTCTCAAGATCGTTGACTATCCTACATTACGTATTTAATATCTCTCAGCTAAATCTTCCTATTGTATGTGTGCCAGTCACAATCATAATCAGAAGTTCTTTTTYTCACACATACAATTTCAAATGAACACTTTTAGATACAATAACGTTTAGAATATACTATAAGAAAAGTATTCTAAAAAGAAAATATTTCAATAAATAACATCCAAAGCTTTCAGTTTGCAAGGGGGCTTTTCTTTCTCGCAAGTAATCAACATACCTTAACCTGAGTCGCCTTGCTCATATAAATAATATTGTTAAAGAAACCGTCCTCTTATATAGTGATTTCTTTTTTAGAAACCCGGTACGTATAGATCCGGCATTCAAGTGTCTTTTTATTTATAATCACCTAACGACCATGATAAATGACCTGTCTTTATATCTAAACAATACAGGTTCATAATTTTGATCTAGTGATACATTTTTGAAAACCTGTCCAGGTTGTGGATCAATATATTGCAAGCTATAGGAAATAGAGCAAATTAGGACCAATATATATACAGTTAAAAAAATGAACGACCACTTTAGAAATATTAAAACGGCTTATTTTAACCTACACTCTTGTCAGTTACGTGCGCGGGCTACTCGGTAGAAAAGGGCTACTTTCTATAGCAGTTGGGTAACTATATTGTGTTATTTTTAGTAAAACATTGAGATAGGATAAGAAAATAACTGAAAAAAACTGACTTGCTGAGGTTTTGGAGGTTAGTCCTTCGTGGAGGAAATCCTTGGTTGTTTTCGGATCTGTGGATCGGTTATTTTTTGTGCGGTTTGCAGCACGCTCAAAACACAAAATTCGCGGATCCTGACTTGTGGATGTTTAGGCGATTTTCCTTGCAGATTTGAAGTTCTTTTCTCAACGGATTTGCGGACTCGCCCCCATTTCGTCCTAGAAGTCAAAAAACAAGAAGACTCTCTATAGCAGGTTTAATAAAGTTTAATTAAAATGAGTGACAGGCAGTGGCATTTTTGCTTGATTTCCTGCTGGTGGAGTCAAATTTAGCACCAGAAAAACGAAGCCGAAAGCAGTGAATCTCGATCTACAATAATAACGGATCTCTATCAGCAAATTTTCGTCGATCGATCCCCTCTCACTGGTGGGAGTCTACCAAGTGACTCGTTAGGGTACTATCAGTGCATAGAGCTCACCGCTTCAGAAAACTTTGTTAGCGAAATGATAAAAAATAATTTAAATATCTGGCATTATGCTGTGACTACCACGGTAATCTAAGTCATTGTCCTATCATTTCTGGCTTGCTTTGAATTTTAATTAACGAATACAAAAACAAACAAACACGCAAAAACGACAAAGGAAGAGAACACGAAAAAAACGTAAAGAAGTGTATCATCCCTAGATAGCAAAGTAGCGAGTATGACTGAAAATAACTGAAAGTTTTCGGATAAAGTGATGTGTTCCAAAATAAGTGTCTGAAGAGCACATTAGTGCGCCAGATGAACTAATTGCTACAAAAAAGACAGAGATGTAACCATTAAGAAGAGAAGAGACGCAGATGCAGGACACTGATCATGATACGGGTCTCTGCTTGGAAATGACCAGAACAGTGATGACCGCATTGAAATTACCTGGGGCCCAGAGGGTAGAAGAAGCAGAGCCAAAGACAACATGGTGTGGGGTTGGAAGAATGAGCAAGGTTTGCTGTAGAGAATCAAGAGAAGTGGAAATGCTCAGAGGCCTTATGCACTACTAGGTGTGAAGGAATACTTTAACAGCATTTTTTTTCCTTTGCAGGTGTTTGCTGGTTCTTTTGGGCAAATCTCTATTTCGCTTCCATTTCAAGTATTTGTCAAGTGCTACTAGGGACCTGGTAGTGACAACCTCCTAATTGAACGTTGCGGGGGTTAACCCACAATGGTTATGGACTCTAGTACCGGTTAACTTGTAAACCAAAACACAATATACCGTATGGCTGAAAGTCGATGTTATTCAAGTCGCCATTCCGATGGACAATCCACAAAGGTCTTTGCAAAGAGACTTGCTCACATAAAATCACTCATATCTTAGAAACAGTGACCTGACAGCAGGGGATGCACCGCGTATTTATGATTTGGGGGGAGGGGCTTACGATCACCGAAGGTGGGAGCTGTCATTAAAGGGGTATGAGCATTCTCCCGCAGAAAGTTTTAAAATTATAACTGTCGGAAACGTCATTTCTAGAGGGGCATCTAGAGCTTATAAAAGGCCTTAAATTTTTTAGTATTTTTTTAACTTATTATAATAATAAAAGGTAAAACATTATTGGGAGGGGTTCCCCTGTCGCGCGGTCTCTTGGCAGTGCAGATTTACCCTTCAAAGATGCTCTTTCACATGAAAATCCCTGAGTTTTATTAACATTTATTTTCGACTAAGTAGGTGAGAATACTATTCTTTATTCTTTTTTCTTTTTTTGATAAAAATAAATGATTAAAAAAATCCCGGAAAAAAAATTAATCGAAAAATCTTACGGAAACAAAACATGTAAAAGGCCTGGCTACTTTTCAAGATGGCGGCTAAGGAGAGAGTTTTTCTGGGGAGGAGTACTGAGAACAAAAGTGCGCACAGACGCGGCGCACAGTAAAAATGGCTRAAGTTGAAGTATTTTAGCATTTGATCCAGAAAAAGTAAGTACCTTGAATAAAATTTAGGATTTTATTAAATAAGTACTACCAAATATTGTAATGTGTGTAATTTTAGAAACCGATGCAATTAACTACTGTACCCTCCCTACACGGGATCATCAGTGCTCGTGGCGTCATCAATATAAACATCATCGTTTCAAAATGGCGGAAGAAAGGTACAAAACTTCTGCACTTCTTAGCGACTTTTTCTTGAATTTACCAGGGTTTGTGGTATGATTCAATGCTAGGGATTTCTTTTAATGTGTTCTTTGTAATTTTTTGTGTTTTAGCGGTGGAGAAAGTTGGTGGGGAGCTTGGGGAACCGAGTTGTTGTCGAATGTCAAAGCGAAGGTAAAAACTTGCCATCTATTCTTGTTTCCCTCAGATTTTGTCCAGGAAACAAAGTTGGCTTTGTTTATGCATTTATGATAGTTATTTGTTCATGTCAAACCCTTTACTGGCGAAAAATACTGCTTTTGTTTACGTAAGCAAAGAGGGCATGATAATAATCTTGACATTTTAGAATTTTTAAATATGTTAAAGCTTTATAAAAGCTTATGCCAGTTAAGCTTTAAATGCTTTTTTGAACAAATTTACTCGTAATTTAAAGCAGCTTGCTTTGAGAGTATTATTCTCTAGTTTTGATATTGATGTTTTGTTTATATTTGAATGTGAAATAAAGGGCTAAACTGTGATAATTGTTTCAGTCTGCAGAAACATTTTCTCTTGTAAAACAAGACCTCGCAGAGTTCGTCACCACAATTCAGCATGATACAACTGTTACTGTAGCTGAAACTGCCAACACTGTTAAAGAAAAGCTTAAGGTAAAGTCATTGCAAAAAGGAATCATCTCCTTTAGCCCTATTTTAAGAATACGGTAATTATAAAAAACAACATATAAGAACCTGCAGTTAGTTATTTTTCAAGCTTAGTAACTACTAATAAGTACACAATGTATTTGTCATTGGGTTTTCTTGCAGTAATATTAAACTTTGCATTCAGATTCAACTTTCATTTTTAAAATGATGAAATAATTCTTGGAACTGTTAAAATAAGGACCAGTCTAACTTCTCAGGCTAAAGTGGTTCTTGTTTAACAGGTGCCAAGAAGCATTAATTTTAGCGTACAGGTTCTTATATGCAGGTTTTTACTCTATGTATAAATAGATTTTTGTAATCACACAATACTTTTTATATACTCTTATCATCCTTGGAGACTGTAAGATGCTATATAGTGTATCCGTACATTGTATATTAATAGTACAGTGTAGCTCAATTTACTAGGAGAGACTTGACTGGTACAAATGCTTGTTCCAAATCTTGTTCATGCCGGTCTTTTTGTTGTCTAACGTCATTATGATTTGCTTGTCTCTGCAAGGTACATGTAGGCATAATGTTTCAACCGTGTTGTATTTCCATTAAAGGTTGAAGAAGATGAAACAGATGGGTCAACAACAGCTGTTATTAGACAAGGTAAGGGAGTTGTGACAAAATTAACTGGTATGATTGATTTGGAACCATATGTTATACATGAATCCATATTTATGGAGGGAGACTGTCTACTATATAAGGAATCACATTCACTGTCTGCATGCATGCAACACTCATATCAATGGATAAAACTTCCTTACAAATGTAAAGAGATTCCCGAGAGTCCTTTATAGGAACATTCCAAGACATTTTCATCTTATTTATAGGTGTCTCACATTGGCTTGGCTCACTTTCTACTGCACTAAAGGAAAATGTTACTCAGATGACTGCAATTGTTGATGAAGAGCCAGCAAGTACCCACCCAGGACCAGTATTTGACAGAGTACAGGTGTGTTACATGTATTGCTTACAGGTCTCTGCATCTTGGTAGTTTTTCAATCAGTTTTTCATTCATGATTATTTACTTAATATCAAACAGGCAAGAGTCCATGAAATCCAAACAGATCCAGCAACATACTGCAATGATCCTGATGGTAAGCTTTGTAAATCATGATCTCTTTGGAATCAGAGATCTCAACATGTGATCCTTAAAACTTGATCACTTAGGGATCAAGAAAGACCACAGTTTTAGCTTTGATTTGGATCAGTGGAAAATTATAAATACCCCAAATGGTTATGTAGTTTCACATGTAAGCTTTTTGTCTCATTTAAATCAGTTATAAATCATTTCTTTTGGTACATACATGTAGCAGCAATAAATTGCTTGAATTAGCATATTCTCAATATTTTCTTAACGAAACAATAGCAAATTGGAATAATTTTCAGATGGTCTTTGATATCAAATCAAATGAGGTGTAAATTACTAGACCGTAATTAATCCTAGTGATATGACATTGGTCCCATTAGGTCATCCTGCTCACTATGAAGACTGGTGTAGAGGATTTGACCTTGAGCAACATAAAGCTGATATTTCTGAACTTCTTGTTAACAAGCCTGAGATAAGGTCTTTATACACAAAACTGGTGGGTATTATGAGAAAAAATTACCATACATAGATCTTCTTTTTGATATCAGTAAAGTGTAAAGTTATCCAAACTGTTTTTATCCAAACTATTTTTTTTTCTGCTTTTACTAACAGGTGCCATCTGCAGTAACTAACTCGCTGTTTTGGACTCGTTATTTTTACAAAATGCACAGATTTCATCAGGTACGTGTATGTCAGTTTTTCTTGAATGTACTCTGTGATACCAAGAGGTCTGATAATTAGAGTGCATTACATGCATTCAGGATTTTTTTAAATTTTAACTGAAGATTATTTTGTATTGCAGGAAGAAAAGCGGAAAGCTGCTTTGGTTGAAAGAGCAAATAAAATGGATGAAGAGGACATAGGTTGGGATGATGAAGGTAACGAATGGTTAATATGTATCATGACCATGAATATCAATATCACTAAATATAATGATAATAATGTCGATAACAATGGATGATGACACCATCTTCACTCAAATGGTCATTCTTCCTTTCTTGTCGCTGCTCCTAAACTCTTGAAATAAATGCAACAATTACATTATTTGAAAAAAATATTATCGTATGAGGAAGTGGCTGATCCCATTAAAGAGTGCTCAATACACATAAAGTGTAGAGCTAGTTATATATATGATATCAAAGAGGCAAGATTAAATACTGTCTGATGAGTGAGTAGCACGAAACTCAGAGTTACAGCAAAATCTTGCCTCTTTGATATCATATATATAAAAAAAATATTATATAATAACAGCTTCTTGATATATAAGGCTTATAAATACATCCAGGATCCAGGATTTTCTTCAATGAGTGTTGGAGGGCACTCAAGAGGGGTTGCACTCCACAAAATTGGTTGTTAAGGAAACTAAACATAATGGAAAGTTGAAGGATACAAGGTCTCTATACAGGATGCAACTCCCCCACCCATCCCTCCACCCACCACCTGGATCCGCCCTGTTGATGACAGCTACTTAGGCAGTTATGATGATTACGACAGTGATGATGATTATGATGACAATAACTATGATTGATCTCAAATTCCATTGTTTTCAAAACATTTAGAGGAGTCATGGGACATAGACGAAACGTATTTAAAGGACAATAAACCAGCACATCATACTCAAAGTGAAGCAAGTGACGATACGAAACCTTCAACAGCAGCAACATCCCA